TGATCGCTTTCAAAGCTCGTCCAGGCTCATAATAAACTGTAGAATGTTAGTTTTGGCTCAAAAAACCTCAAAATCGTCGTTTTTCACTCTGAAATTTGGTTTTCGAGCCGGACAGTTTGTTTTGGTTGAAAATGACCGAAAATATATCAATTTCGGCTTTAAAACTATGATTTTCAGCCTAAAAATGACCAATTTTTTGCTCTAAAACCTGCCAAAATTATGATTATTTATCCCGAAATGCTTGAAATTCATATTTTTAGGCTCAAAAAAAAACTTCAAAATTGTCATTTTCGACTCCGAAAATGTCGTTTTTAAGCTGATATTAGGAAATTTCAGCTCTTAAAATACGATTTTCAGTCTAAAATCATACTTTTCCATCCCGAAATCGCGATTTTCTAGCTCGAAATGACTGGAAAATTGTCATTTTCGACTCCGAAATGTGCCTTTTCAGCTGAAAATTCATTTTTTGATGTGAAAAAAATTGCTGAAAATAGCCATTTTCAGCTCCTAAATGACAATTTTTGGCCTCTAAAACCCCCAAAAACCATGATTTTCCACTCCCAAACCCTCTAAAATCGGCTATTTCCAGATGTATGACATGTGCTGGAAATCTCACCGACTGCCCCGGCCATTTCGGTCATTTAGAACTGGCGAAGCCCGTTTTTCACATTGGATTCCTCACAAAATCCCTCAAAATCCTTCGTTGCGTCTGCTTCTACTGCGGACGTCTTCTGATTGATAAGACGAATCCACGTGTCATGGATATTCTCAAAAAGACGAGTGGGAATCCGAAGAAGCGACTGGCGCTGATCTATGATCTCTGCAAATCGAAATCCGTGTGTGAGGGTGCCGCAGAGAAGGAGGATGGACTGCCAGATGATATGGATGATCCGATGAATGAGGTGTGTGGGCTGGAAATTGCTGAAATTCCCGAATTTCAGCCTGAAATTTGCGATTTTTGAGCTGAAAATCGGCTAGAAATGGCAAAAATAAACCTGGAACCTATTAAATTTGAAAATATCCAGTGAAAAAATTGCCAAAATCTTGTTAATTTTATCATTTCCGTCTTGAAATTGACTGAAAATAGCTAAAATTCGCAGTTTTTCAGCTGAAAATTGTTTAGAAACAGCCAAAAATGAACCTAGAATCGTTAAATTTCGATGATTTTATTAGGTTGGCGGGAAAGTCTTTGTCACTCTGTTTGTTTAATCACTGTTCTCGTATATGGAGGCTGTGTATGATATCGACTTTAGTGAATAACAAGGTGATAAGAACCTTCCATATAAACAAGTCCCCATCTCCTTCCCTGCTCCTCATCTGTAATTGAAACGATATGTTTGTTCCCACTGCTATTCACATCAGACATGTTTTGATTTACCTCTTCCTATCTCACACCACGATGAAGGATTCGGAAACTTTCTTGAAGAATGTGTACAACACACATGCCCCTCACTACAATACTATTCGCAATTGGTTCCATCGTTTCGAAAAAGATGACTTCTCGCTCGATGAAAAGGATCGCTCTGGGAGACCCCGTGAGTTGGATTTGGACAAGCTGAAGCACGCATTGCAATCGGATCCATTTCAATCTAGCCGTGAACTAGCTGTCACATTCGGAGTTCACCATAGCACAGTCCTTGAAGGTTTGAAGTCTCTTGGAATGAGAAAACTTCTTGGTCGATTCATACCTCATCACCTGACTCAAGCCAACCTTGACCGCCGAGTCGACGATTCGATTACTCTTCTCACTCTCCACGCGGGCGATCGATGGCTGGACCGGCTAATAACCGGAGATGAGAAGTGGGTCTTCTACGATAATCACCACAGGAAATCCCAGTGGGTTGGAGAAGGAGAGAGCCCACAGGATGTCCCCAAACCCGGCCTTCATCCGAAAAAAGTTATGCTCTCTGTGTGGTGGGGAGTGGACGGCCCCATCTACTGGGAACTTCTGCCCGAGGGCAAAACAATAACTGGAGACCTCTACACTACTCAACTACGAAACCTCAAGAAAGCAGTCGACCGTTCGGCCCTGAAAGACAAGAAAGTGTACTATCAACATGATAACGCTCGCCCACATGTTTCGAAACAAGTGAAGCAGGAGCTGATGGGATATGGATGGAATGTTCTCCCTCACCCCCCGTATTCTCCTGATCTTGCTCCTTCCGACTATTGGTTATTTGGCGATATGACACGTGCCTTCGAAGGAAGAAGCTTCAATTCCCGTGGAGCGGTCGAAGCGGCACTCAAACAATACTTTGCCTCACGCCCGGCTGGATTCTACCGCAATGGAATCCATAAATTGAGGGAACGTTGGAGACATGTTGTTGATAATGATGGACAATATAATTAATTATTCGGTTATTTTTTCTTTGAGAAATAAACTATTGAAAAAGTGACAAAGACTTTCCCGCCAACCTAATAGACCAAAAAATCTCTGAAATCGTCGGAAATTTTGGAATTTTCAGCTATAAATGGCTATAATTAGACCTGGAATGTCTGAAATTCTACGATTTTTGACCTGAAAATCACTGAAAACGCGCTATTTCGACCCGAAACGTCTGAAAATCACCTGGAAATAGATAATTTTCAGCCAAATATCAGCTAGAACCTC